GAAAATCCCAAAGGACCCCAAGGAAACAAAAATCCCAAAGAAGCACCAGGATCCCAAAAATCCCAAAGAACCCCAAGAACCCAAAAACCCCCAAGACCCCAAACATCCCAAAAACCCCAAAGACCCCCCAGGAACCCAAATATCCCAAAGAACCCTGGGATCATCAGGAACCCAAAGACCCCCAAGACCCCAAAAACCCCAAAGAATCCCAAAGAAGCCCAGGACCCCAAATATCCCAAGGAACCCCAGGAACCCAAAAACCCCAAAGACCCCCCAAAACCCCCAAAGACCCCTGAGAACCCCAAATATCCCAAAGAACCCGCAGGACCCCAAATATCCTGAAGACCTCCAAGAACCCAAATATCCCACAGAACCTCGGGATCACCAGGAACCCAAAGACCCCAAAGAACCACCAGGAACCCAAATATCCCAAAGAATCCCAAAGAATCCCAAAGAATCCCAAAGAATCCCAAAGAATCCCAAAGAACCCCAGGACCACCAGGAACCCAAAGACCCCCAAAACCCCAAGGAACCCCCAGAACCCCAAATATCCCAAAGAACCCCAAATATCCCAAAAATCCCAAAGACCCCCGAGAACCCCAAATATCCCAAAGAACCCCAAATATCCCAAAAATCCCAAAGACCCCCGAGAACCCCAAATATCCCAAAGAATCCCAGGACCACCAGGAACCCAAAGACCCCCAAGAACCCCAAATATCCCAAAGGACCCCAAATATCCCAAAAATCCCAAAGACCCCCGAGAACCCCAAATATCCCAAAGAATCCCAGGACCACCAGGAACCCAAAGACCCCCAAAGAACCACCAGAAACCCAAAGAATCCCAAAGAATCCCAAAGAATCCCAAAGAACCCCAGGACCACCAGGAACCCAAAAACCCCCAAAACCCCCCCAAAAAAGCCCCCCCAAACCCCCCAGGAGCCCGTGACCCACGCTGGACCCAGACGGTGACGTCGCGCTCGGCCGTGCCCAGCTCGTTGGTGGCGCGGCACCGGTAGATCCCGGCGTGCTGGCGGAGCGCGGGATGCGGAATTCCGGCGGGAAGGGAATTCCCGTCCTTGGAGCAGCGCACCTGGGGCTGCGGCCGGCCCGAGGCTCGGCACGTCAGGGTCCCGGCCTCGCCCTCCGTCCAGTTCTGCTGCGACGGGCACCCCGAGGCGTCCAGACGGGGTTCCGCTGCCGGGAAAAGGCCGGAAAAACGGGATGAGGTGAGGAAAAGGCCGGAAAAACGGGATGAGGTGAGGAAAAGGCTGGGAAAGCGGGATGAGGGTGAGGAAAAGGCTGGAAAAACGGGATGAGGGTGAGGAAAAGGCTGGGAAAGGCCAGGAAAAGGCGGGATGAGGATGAGGAAAAGGCTGGGAAAAGGCTGGGAAAGGTGGGATGAGGATGAGGAAAAGGCTGGGAAAAGGTTGGGAAAGGTGGGATGAGGATGAGGATGAGGATGAGGATGAGGATGAGGATGAGGATGAGGATGAGGATAAGGATGAGGATGAGGATGAGGATGAGGAAAAGGCTGGGAAAAGGCGGGGTGAATATGAGGAAAAGGTCGGGAAAAGGCCAGGAAAAGTTGGGATGAGGATGAGGAAAAGGAGGGATAAGAGCGAGGAAAATCCGGGATAAAGGACAGGAAAATCCGTGATAAGGGACAGGAAAATCCGGGATAAAGGACAGGAAAATCTGGGATAAGGGACAGGAAAATCCGGGATAAAGGACAGGAAAAGGCAGGATAAAGAACACCAAAAGCCCCTCCACGGAGCAGAATTCCCGCCGGGACCACGGCGCTCTCACCCAGCACCCAAATCCTCCTGGAGCTTTTCCGGGAGATGTTCTGCAGCTCGGCCTCGCAGCTCAGCTCCAGCTCCGCGTCCTCCCGGCTCGGCCGCAGCGCCGATTCCAGCGGCGGCCGCCCCCAATCCCCCAGGACGCGGTTCCCGCTCAGGATCCGCACCTGGACATCGGCCGTGGCTCCCGGGGGAAGGGAGCAGAGGATCCGCAGCTCGGAGCCCGCGCTCGGTCGCTGGCTGGAAACGTTCAGCTCCGGCACGGGGACGTCTGCGGGGACAGCGGGGTTGGCTCGGGGTTCTTCCTGTCCTGATTTTTCCCGCTTTTTCCCGATTTTTCCCGATTTATCCTGCTTTTTCCCCGATTTTTCCTGCTTCTTCCTGATTTTTTCCCGATTTTTTCTGATTTTTCCTGATTTTTCCTGCTTTTTCCCGATTTTTCCCGATTTATCCTGATTTTTCCTGCTTCTTCCTGATTTTATCCTGCTTTTTCCCCGATTTTTCCTGCTTCTTCCTGATTTTTTCCCGATTTTTTCTGATTTTTCCTGATTTTTCCTGATTTTTCCCGATTTTTCCCGATTTATCCTGATTTTTCCTGCTTCTTCCTGATTTTATCCTGCTTTTTCCCCGATTTTTCCTGCTTCTTCCTGATTTTTTCCCGATTTTTTCTGATTTTTCCTGATTTTTCCTGATTTTTTCCCGATTTTTCCTGCTTTTTCCCGCTTTTTCCTGATTTTTCCTGATTTTTCCTGATTTTTCCTGCTTCTTCCTGATTTTTCCTGCTTCTTCCTGATTTTTCCTGCTTTTTCCCGCTTTTCCCCGATTTTTCCTGATTTTTCCTACTTCTTCCTGATTTTTCCCTGATTTTTCCTGATTTTTCCTGCTTTTTCCCCGATTTTTCCTGCTTCTTCCCGCTTTTTTCCGATTTTTCCCGCTTTTTCCCGATTTTTCGTGCTTTTTCCCACTTTTTCCTGCTTTTTCCTGCTTTTTCCTGCTTTTTCCTGGTTCTTTATCCCACCTTTTCCTCATCCTTATCCCAAGTTTTGGTGACACCGGGGCTTGGTGACACCAGGATTGGTGACACCAGGATTGATGACACCAGGGATTGGTGACACCAGGATTTGGTGACACCAGGATTTGGTGACACCAGGATTGATGACACCAGGATTTGGTGACACCAGGAATTGGTGACACCAGGATTGGTGACACCAGGGATTGGTGACACCAGGATTTGATGACACCAGGGATTGGTGACACCAGGAATTGATGACACCAGGAATTGGTGACACCAGGGATTGGTGACACCAGGATTTGATGACACCAGGATTGGTGACACCAGGGATTGGTGACACCAGGATTTGTCCCCACCCCGCTCACTCACAGTAGATCCCCACGTTCCTGCTCGCCCGTCTCTCCACGCCGCCCACGCCGACTGTGCAGCACAGCCGGACGTTGCCCGTGCGGTTGACGGTGACTACAGCCGTGGCCCGGCGCCTGTCCTGGCTCAGCGTCACCGGGAAGCTCCGGTTGTCGGCGGTGATGGTGAAATCGGCGGCCGAGCCGGAGCTGACGGCGCAGGTGACGTTGAACGGGATCCCCAGTTCCGGGAACTGAGGTGGGAACAGCTCGGGGTCCTCGGAGAGGGCTGGGGAGGGGAAATGGGGAAAAATGGGGAAAACGGGGAAAAATGGGGAAAAACAGCAGAGAAATGGGGAAAATGGGGAGAAATGGGGAAAAACAGCAGAGAAATGGGGAAAATGGGGAAAAATGGGGAAAAATGGGGAAAAATGGGGAAAAATGGGGAGAAATGGGGAAAAATGGGAAAAAAACAGCAGAGAAATGGGGGGAAATGGGGAGAAATGGGGAAAAATGGGAAAAAAAAGCAGAGAAATGGGGAGAAATGGGGAGAAAATGGGGAAAAACAGCAGAGAAATGGGGGGAAATGGGGAAAAATGGGGAGAAATGGGGAAAAAATGGGGAGAAATGGGGAAAAAATGGGGAGAAATGGGGAAAATCAGCAGAGAAATGGGGGAAATGGGTGGAAATGGGGAAAAATGGGAAAAAACAGCAGAGAAATGGGGAAAAATGGGGAAAAATGGGGAAAAATGGGGAAAAACAGCAGAGAAATGGGGAGAAATGGAGGGAAATGGGGAGAAAATGGGGAGGAATGGGGAAAATCAGGCAGAAAACAACAGGAAAATGGGGGGAAACAGCGGGAAAACGGGGGGAATGGGAGAAAACAGCAGGAAAACGGGAAGAAATGGGGAGAAAATGGGGAGAAATGGGGGGAAATGGGGAGAAATGGGGGGGGAAATGGGGAGAAATGAGGAAAATCAGGCAGAAAACAGCAGGAAAACGGGAAGAAATGGGAGAAAACAGGAGGAAAACGGGGAAAAAACCAGCAGAAGAATGATTAAAACCAGCGAGAAAACACCCGAGGAAACCCCCCAGAGGTGAGAGGGGGAAGCAGAGAAATAAAAACCCCCCAAAAGTGCGGGGAAGCCCCCGCGGTCCCTCGGAAGCCCCCCGGGATGAGCCCCCGGTGGAGAGCGGGGGGATTCCCCCGGCGGGGCCGGGATTTCCGATCCTTGCCCGGTCGCTTTCCCGGAACGCGCCAGGAAGGAAGGGAGGGAGGGAGGGAGGGAGAGGGAAAATCCCGCTGGATTTTTTTTTTTTATTTTTTAATGGATTTGGTGATGATGAATTAAATTCCCGGTTAAGTTTTGCGGTGGTTCCCCCCACCCAAAGGGGGTCCCGGGGGTCGTCGCCACCCCCCCGGTTCGGTGTTTTTCCCTCCTCATCCTCACCTGCGATGACCCCCAGGGTGCCCAGGGCCAGCGCCAGCAGAGCCGGGGGCTCCATCCCGGGGGGAGCACCGGGAGCACCGGGATGCACCGGGACAGGGGCGGGGGGCGGCGGCGCCGGCAGGGTCTTTGGGTTGGAGCCGGTGCTGGGACCGGAGCACCGGGACGGGTCGGTTCGGGATCTCCGGGAGCACCGGGAGGGGTCGGTTCGGGATGTCCGGGAAGGGTCGGTTCAGGTTCGGTTCGGGATGTCCGGGAAGGGTCGGTTCAGGTTCGGTTCGGGATGTCCGGGAAGGGTCGGTTCGGGTTCCCCGGGAGCACGGGGAGGGGTCGGTCCGGGGTCGGTTCGGACTCTCTGGGAGCACCGGAAAGGCTCCGGTCCGGTTCTCCGGGCTAGGTCGGTTCAGGCTCGGTTCAGGCTCGGTTCGGGCTCGGTTCAGGCTCGGTTCGGTCTCTCCGGGCTAGGTCGGTTCGGGCTCGGTTCGGGGTTGGTTCAGGCTCGGTTCGGGCTCGGTTCGGGGTCGGTTCGGGCTCGGTTCAGGCTCGGTTCGGGCTCGGTTCGGGCTCGGTTCGGTCTCTCCGTTCTGGTTCCCTCGCGGCTCTTCCGGGTCCGTCCCGTTCGGGGTCTCTGGGTGGGCTCTGGGCGCGCTCCGCACCCCGCGGTCCCTCCGTCCGTCCGTCCGTCCGTCCGTCCGTCTGTCCCTCCCTCCCGTGTCCCTCCCGTGTCCCTCCCGTGTCCCTCCCGTGTCCCTCCCGTGTCCCTCTGTCCCTCCCGTGTCCG